AAAATTTCAATGCCACTACTACTGAGGGATACACGAGCCCTAGTGAAGAACATATGCAGTGGAAATAATAAACGAACTTACCTCAGAAACTCAAAAACAGGGTGGAAAGTCCCTCAAACATGGGTGTTCTTGGGGATTTCCCCAATCCCGCCCCCTTGCCGGCCGTCATTGGACGCGTCGGCAATCGTGCTCGTTTTGGGACCACAGGGAAAATTGATTGAAAAATGGAGCGCGTTTACAGCGGGCACGTTCAGACAACTCGTCCAACGTGCGTCTTTATCCATTGCTGAGCGGCAGAGGGAGAGTACCTGTCTAAGACCCTCCCCGACGTTTTTTTCCAGTTTTTCATACATTAATCGTCTGGTTTTCATCTACAACTTCATTATTGGTGGTTTTTTCCCGCGAAACCGTTCCTGAACTGTTGCTTTAAGGCTTTACACGATTTTACGCTTAGCTGTGCAATCTCACTTGACAATTGGATCTACCGGCATCTCTGCAATTCAAATTATACATCTTTATTTAAGTCCATTATCATTCAAAACGAAGAATGTCGTCGTATTACGTAATAACTTCGTGGCCATCTACATTTTGCCTGCAAAATTATCAATTTTCAGAACATGGGTGCATCTCAGTCTACTAACCGAGCTGCAAAATTTAGCGGATCTAAGAGACGTGTCCAAAGTTGCAATAGCGGTAAGATTTGTTTTGTATAGCTGTCTCAGATGCCATACCCAAATCGACACGTTGGTGACCTGCAAAAATCGTAGAATACTGGAATTTGTACTCCAGTACTACACCAATTGGTATATGCACAGGAAAAATATGCCTGACGTACAACTGTTCCTTTTCAGCCCCTCCCTCGGCTCCGACCGTACGGCGTCAACTTTCACAACGTAATACAAATCGAAAATGTGAAGGAGTTTTCGAAGTTCTGGTCAGATGGTGAGTAGCAGTACTTTTCAAGTCTACCTAAATTGTGATCTTTCTGCTTTCGCCTTTTGAATATTTGTTGCAGGTGGTTCGTTTCGTCCAAAAAGTGGTGGTCCTCGACGAAGTGAATCGGTCAGGCGGGTTAACAGCGTACGGCGGACACGAACAATGGGTTAGTTTCCACATTTAGACTGTAATAGCTATATTCTGCGATCCGGCAGCCCCGAGTTGGCTGCTTTACGTGCTGTGGAGCAGCTCAGTAATCCAGCTGCACGCTAGGAAACACCACGATAGTCGTCATGTTATTTCATTAACAATGGAGACCAGGGCGGCAGTGGTGTAGTGGAAGTGGCACGCTTACCCTGCGCGCGAGATCGAATCCTGGGTCGTGCGTCGTCCGGCCAAGTAAGCCTTCCGTCCGCTCGCGGTCGAGCTTATTGCGTACCAGACTTGTCTGGAAGGATAAACACTGACTTGTAACAGGCCTTTATTTTTGATGGGATGGACCAATACAAGAGTATAAGGACTAGAGCTATCGGCGTTAGTCAATCGATTTCGGGATGCGCCGCGCAGTCTATTTCCATTTAGAATTACAGGACATCTGAATGCAGTATGGGCTTATGCACTACGTGCTAGGCCAGCTAATGTAGAAGTCAGCGGTTTTACCTCCCAGACGTATTTAATTGACCGACCTTGGTTGGATGAAAGGCTTGATTGGAATGGGTGGAGTTCGCATGCCGGATCTACTCGCGCCCTACCGTGCGCGTGAAAATCCGTCTTGCTACAAACGACTCCCCCCCCCCGTGGACGTGACAGTAAGGCCACCAGAACTCAAAAGTATGGCGCCCGGTCTCCACGCTATCATGGCCCTACTTCAGCGTCCGGCGGTGGCTATGATGGTTAGTGGTTATGGTCAGCTGCAATCAATACCTATGTTTTGTTTAGCAGACAACTACAGTAGTGCACGCTCGATTTTTACAGCTTTGTTTCAAAAAGTGAATTTTCAGCAGTAGAACAACCACCACCGACGGTGATCACCCCTCTGTCGACACCGCACATCACTCCACGATCGCCGAGGAACTCCCAACAACTGCTCGAATCCCAGCAGCTACCGTCTCGATCGTTGTCGCAATATGGCGCCTATGCTGTGTCACCTGCACGATACGAACGCTTCGACGACGACATCATATCCGAATTGGGTATAGCGGGGAGTTCAAGCGAATAACCACGCAACGACTAGCAACGCCTTATCTGTGTCAATGCTCTCGTGCTTGCCAAACGAGTTACCGCCGAGTTTATTGAATATTATTCTGCTCATTTGTCTACGCGGAAAATTACTATAGCATTGGGTTAACATTGTTGGTCTTGTTTCGAAGTTCATCTCAGCAATGGCTTTCTCGAGATTGTGATTTATGGATCGATGGAGGAGCTACTGTTTTGAGCCAATAGTGTCTCTGTGGCTTGCGATTCCTCTTCTCACAGATGCGAGAGAGAAAAGGCCCATGAAGACGCGCGCTGTGCGCGCACGGGTCTTGGTTTCCCGCTGGTGCAAACGTATGGAATTGCCTGGGTGACCATTTATGCGAATCGTCAGTTTCAATAGAAAATTTATTCAAGAAGGATCGCGGCCGCCAGAAGGTAGCCTCAACTGTATCCGCGCGCCACGGGCTGCTGCCCATCTATGACAAACGGTTAAGTAGTAGCCGCCGGTAAGAGATTTGAAAAGTTCTATGCTTCAAATACCGCCTATGCTGTAATGTAAGAGTTTATTTTTTCTCTAGAGGCTTTCTCGAAGGCAATGTTGGTATATTATCGACTTTTCATTGGCCCCTCTGGATTGATCGCTTGCTCCAGGTACTGACGGCTACAAGGCCTTATTTTGATCGGGTAATTTATCGCAATTCTGTACTTTTTAATTATGTTTTCAAAATATTTGTTGGATAAGTGGATTTGAATAAATGAATTTCTGACGAAACGCTGTTATGCGTTTAGAAAGACGCTAACTGGTAGTATACAGGAACCTATTTAGCAGGAGAGGGTGAATTAGCACGAGTTGGAGATGCGCCGTGCCCTCGTCTTCTACAAAAAATCATTGTAGCTTAAATAGGATTTTGTGTTCACATGAGTGTAAGGCACATAGAGCAACCTCCTGTAAACTTGCCGGCGTTGCTCTTAGAGCGTGCACAATCCTACGGCTGTGAAAAGGATGACCAGCTGCTAAGTTGGTGGCATAGAAGCACTAAATGTATGCTAATACGAAATAAATAGTTGTTATTTGTTTTGTTTCTTCTGCCGTTCGAGGTTGATAGGTGGAACATTTATTCATCGGCCTAACGTTTCGACAAAATCGTCGTCTTCTGAGGCCTAAACGCGGTTCAAGGTTGAAATTCACGATCTAATCGACCAAGCGCCTGATCTCCTCTAGCGGTTCCGACTTTCCGCCGGGAGTCCCACCGAGAAACATAAGCAAAACGAATTTTGAACTCACCCAGGGTTCCACCGTTTGTGCGGGAATCCCGCTTCCGCACAAAAGCGCCGGTCAGTAAGAAATAAGGCACACCGTAATGTCTCCTGATTCGAGTAATCGCTGGGAGACGCACGTACGCTTCATTGATGTAACTTAGGGTTTCACCTCAAGGAAAGCACCGAATACACGATACTGGAGAGTATCAGGGAAACGAACGAACTCTTGGGCTCAGACCGCCACCATCAGGACAAGCAATATAGACCGACCTTCAGCACTCTTTCCAGAAGGTGGGAAGAGGGTCATCGGGAAGTAAAGCTTGGTAAAAAAAGAACTAAGAGGTTTACTTTATCTTGAAGCTTGGCCTTGAAACTGTATGTCATTAAACTTGTGATTCCAACGTATTTTCAGAAGAAATAGCGCTAGAGTGAAAAGGAGCTGAATTCTGGCTATGAAAACGCGTGTTGACTGCATTGGAAGTGGAAGGACAGTTAGAATCATTCCCATCGTGGGAGTTGAAGGGAGCGGCGGTGCCATTGAGTATTGATAGCGTGCGGTGCTAGTGATTCGTCGAGCGCATGCGCTGCTTACTGTGGCTGCTTGCTGTGATGCGTTAGGTAAGGGTGACCCGTCATATTGGGATTGCGTCATTTGATTCATACCAGTACAGTACCTTTGTAGTTGCTTTACCTCAGTAACTTTACGGATAACTTACAAACCACCGAAATCATCCATTTTACCGATGACGATCTCTGAATAGCCTCACCTTCAATTTTGCGTCATGCCCCCCCTCAAAAAGAGTTTGCTTAGGAAAACGTGGAAGTAAATAACAGATTACTCAGCCGCACCTTTTGGGGAGATGCGCCATGCTTCAAAAGACCTGAGGTCAGAATCGGAAGTGTAATTGAGAGTTTTAAAACACGCAATGTACCGTTCATGGATGCATTATTTTAATGTAATTTCGCAGTTTGCTGCCTGGTTGGTATGGGTCGCCTACCCCATAAGCAATGCGTAGGTCACGGTCTTCTCGCCGGACTTCGATCCTATAAGGAATTAGCGCAAAAGAGAAGCTGCGCTAACCATTTCACTTCACGAATAAATTACCTATAAAGGGTCCTAAAGGTGAACCTTCGTTCTGCAGATTTTCCCTGTTTCGGAAGTTAACAACTTTTTGAGAAAAAAGTTTAAAATTATTGAGGATAGAATTTCAAAAAGAAATGGATCCGTAAAGAAGCATATAATTATACGATTTTGAAAAGATCAAATATCACAGCTTATCACCCGAATAATCATATAGTTGAACTCGATTCCATTCTGAGATAATCGGTCAATCAACTTTCAATCAATATGCTGATCAATATAGGTAACTAATGTACAAAAAAATTAAAAGCGTTATGCATCAATACGAATTTTCACTATGAAGAATTATAAGCAACGAGAAAGAGCTGAAAGAAATGGAAATATACAGTATCCAAGTCCTACCGGGCAGTACAGTACACGCATTGAACCACGATAGCAAAGGCGAAATCAGACGACCTAGAATTCGATGAGACAGAAAGACAATCGATGAACGACAACGGAAGTTACCAGCAAACGGCGCATGCGGTCAATCATTCGATAGGATTTCTGATTCTCCAGGGGCACTAGAAACGACGAAGTCGTTGAAGGACTTCTGCACGTACATACGGATGTTTCCTGCCTTTCGTCTTCCCCAAACAATGGAGACTGCCATTAGGTCGGCGAACACATGGGAACTTCTTAACTGGATCGACGCCAAAATGCTCTGCTTTTACTACTGAATCGAATTTTTATATCACGAATATTTTTTGAACTTCGTAGTCTATTGGAGCTTGTTGGAGGACCATGCTAGTCCCACGTCACCAATTTCAGGGTTGCTAAAGGTAGCTTGCACATAAACCCTTCTAAAAACAGCGGTCGCGACTAACCAAATAGCACAAATCTACTCCGCTAACTCCGCCCATCTTACCAGGCCACGCCTACCAACCAAGTGCATGTACACCGGATTACCAGCTCATGATTTTAACTTTACGTTATACATGTGTGTCTAGTAAGCTAATGCAAAACACTAACGAAACATGACCTGTGGTAAAGTCATTATTATTGTTCTCGTCCAAAATGTTAAGGTGCGGGTTCGAGTCTGAGCTGAGGTAACGTGTTTTGCCCACATCTTATCATCATTTTTGGTAAATAGCGCGACAGTTTGAAGAATGTTTAACCTAGGAAGTACGTATAGCGCCAATTTGGCCCAAAACACCAAGATAGCTCGGGTCGACAAGTGCATTATAAGGAAGCTCCAGAGAGGAATTTCTACCCAGAAAGCACCTTCTGCAGCTTTAGTTAAGTTATTACAAGTTAGTTGTCAATCTTCTAAAATAGTCGAAATAGTCGTAACCCGCAGGGGGAATGGCTATACCCGCCCATTCGAAATGAGCTGGCAAAAATGTAAGACTTGCCTGGCTCTAATCCGAGAAACCTTTCCGTTTGGCTGACTTCCAATGCCGGCTGTGTGACAAGCCGTTCGCCGTCTACAATATGGAATTTGCTCCATTGGAAAGTTGTCCAGGCCCATTGAAGAGATGTTAAATTTCTAACACCAATCCGAATCCATTAAATCACAATATTACCTCTTCATATGCTTGTGATAAAGACCAATTCGAATTGCTCCCCATCCGACGTTGACTCCGCCCACTTTTGAGGAACAGTTTGTCTTCAACCACGGCGCACAGTCGCCTACGGCCATGTCTTCAAATGTGGGCATTGGTCCGAGCATCTTACGCTTCGAAGATGATTGAGTGTAGTCTGGAAGAAAAAAATGAAGCAGAGAATTGAAAAATGCGCTGGCACCGACCAACTCAATGCTTACCCGAAGCGCTCTCATCACTGATCACCTTACGACGACGATTATGATCTTCACATCGCCGGATTCAGCGCTCGTATTCGCTCAGCAGCTGTTTTGCTATGGAAATATGCCGGGCTTTTTTCAATGGTCATCTGATTTTTTGTCGTCAGCGGCATTTTTTCTCTGAAAGACGACAAGTTGTACAAAACCAATTTTTCAAATTGTAAAACATTTTAGAATTTTAGATTCTGTAATTGAAAAATTTTGCCAAGAAGATCGATAGAGAGACACCAGGTAAAGAAGAGGTGAGAAAAAGTATCCGAAACTACAATTCGATTGAAAAGGTCCCGGATTAGGACCAAGATGGTACTGAGAACGCACGGCGCTCCGCGCGCGGTCAAACTGGAGCAAAACTTCCAACAGAAGAACACTATTTATTGGCTACGGGAAAGGCCCAGTAGATGGCAAGGTACTTAAGTATTTCCAACCAATTCCGAAAAATAAAAAACGTCACAGGGTGCAACTTCAATCTGCGTACATGGATTATGCTGGAGCACTATTTTGGCCCTTAAATGGGGCCTTATTAGGTACTCAGAGCCATTCCTATTCACCTTCTTCCTTTTCTTCGACCTTTGATACCGACCATCTTAATAGAGTGACTTGCCATGACTGGCAGGCCTGGGGCTGATACCAGTCTGTGCCGCGTAACACAATCGTGCGACCTTTTCTTCTCGTTGCCGAGCGGCGCAGTCGCGCTATCTGAAGGCGCCAATGACGTAAACTGTCATCAGGTCGCCAGACATAGTGGCTATTGATGAACCGACACTCATTGCCACTACCGTAATCCGTACTAAAACTTCCTGACCTCAAACAGAACGAAGAATTCTGTTGAGGATACTCTTAAATCGATTATCCAATCTTAGGCTTTTTCCTCGTGGCTTATGCCTGGGTGCCTTAGATGGCCAGCACGTTAACTTCATGTTCTGCAGTTAAGCAAGTGTATAGTTCGGAGAATCTCACGGAGTTGTTTCCTATGATCAGTTCCGCTACTGAATAACTTCCGTTGACGCAAGACTCAACTCAACAGTCGCTAATGCAACAAATGATGGCTTGCGCTGCCCAGATTCCCCATTTTCACTACTTCGGATAGCTGCTTGGGTCAAGATCAACCGTGTGTTGCGCGGATTTCGGAAAATTTTTACGACACATCTCAAACTCCATTGAGGGTTCAGTGGCTACCAACCTTCTCCCTTGGCTAAACCGGTGTGTGATGGGACCACTCCGAAGGACGATCGCTTCTTCCTTGAAAACAACCTATTATAAAGTTTGACTACCTCGTTTGGGACTGGGGTAAGCTATTTTGGGCCCTGTTGCGTACTTTGAAAAAGGATCTTTGAGAGTGAGATTCAATTCGTGTACTTAGATGGTCCGACTCGCTCTCAACTAAGGGGCTGCGAGATTCAGACTTTCACAGTAACCTCACTACTAAGCACTCGATTCAGGTTTTCTCCCATAACCCCATCTTGGTTTGCTAAAACCGTCGGTTCGATGAGGGAATAGTATGCAGATTCGTGAGGCAATCGCATCCCAAACCTGACCTCAGCCTCTAAACCCTGTGTGTTAAGTCTGGTCGCGTGTTTCTATGTTCTCTGAGTCAATTCTGTGGGGTACACATTTGGCGCCTCGGTTTTAGCCTTTGCACGATCTAAAAACCGTCGTCAAAGGGTTTAGGCGACGATCCAGTTAACGGCGAGGTACGGCTACACCGAAACAATTGTGGTGGGCGAGACACTCGACCAACTGTTAACGAGAGGTTGGCGAGGGTGATCGAACGTATAAGTTTGGATTACGAACTGGTACTGACTGCTTGGTTGTGTCAATGGCACAGACGTATTTGAAAGACAAGAGGGGGGAAAGAAAAAGGCGTGTTGGAGGTGGTCGGCTCAGTGTTTTAGCATGCTTGTCGACGTAAATCAGGGAGCAGGACCAGTCGCGAGAAGAGAAATCGCTGGGATAAACTGGGGCTTTGTGCGCATAGATACCCAATGGTTCGCGGTATATTGTGCAGATAACAGGCCTTCAGAAAGATCCCCGGCCCACGTTACCTGCCATAGGCAAGGCAACTGGACAGAAGGAATATGAGCCAGATAAGTTGCCTTAACCAGAATCTTCAGTATCTGAAGCTGCAGTCCATTAGGTCCCCCTTGCCATTAGTGAAACGAGCCTCCTGCTACCTTCGACCATACAAGGGTAGCACAGGGGTTAGGGACCGTTATACGTGGAACTGACCCCCGCCGGAATTCCTATCCGTCCCGAGGATGGAAGTACTGACTTGAATGAGGCGAACGATGGACTGGATCAGGTCAAAATCTTTCTTATTATTGTCCAGAGTAAAATTTTCGGACACTGGGACTGGGAAGTCGCCCACAGTCGAATGAAGGCATTATTTAACACTACAGGCATTCATTTCGAAACGAGATTTCCGTGCCTTTTCATATGTGAATGTGAAGGAACTACAGGTTCCCAGGAGTTGGGAGATCTCTCGCAATTTCTTCGGAAGCCGGAAAACGGAATGAGAAAACCTTATATCCTCTACCTTCAACAGACCGCAGCAGAAACAGGTTCCATTCAGCTAATTATGCTAATAATTCTTTGAAAACGCTGGATCTTTAGGTTTTCATTTCCAGCTGATCCGTGAGGCAGTCTCGTTGAAAGCCCAAGCAGCTGGCTGGTCCCTCCACCACCATACGACGTTCGGACCGCTTGCTAATCGACTGGAATACGAATCCGTTTCTGATCTAATAAACACCCATGGGATTGGACCGCAGCGGTCGTTGTCACTGGAACAACACACGCCAAACACGACGTAATTATACGGACTCAATCATATTATGGTAGCATGGCTACAGCTTGGCTGCGGCTGTCCCGCAGTTCGTCCATTTAGCTCCTGGACGGGCACCGATTAGTGTCAGTCGCATAAGGCGTTCGTGGTGTGTCTGCAATTCTGCATTTGACAAAGCCATTAGTGCTTCAGCACTTTGTAGCTTGCAGGAGGTTATTGCATGGATCAGGGTATGCGCAGTGCAAGCGCGTACACCCCGAAAAATGTACTGTAGACAATCCTATCCATCGCTGTTGCCTACTGAGAGTATCTTAGAATAGATGGAAAACGACTGATTTTTGAAGCCAGGTGAAAATTGGGTAGCAGGGTAATCGATGTTCTGCCTTGACGAACAAATTCACAGGCATTCGATCCGGCTCCCCCCCCACTCTTCGCAAACTACCCGTGTTGCTAGATAACTTTCCGTTCTCCGCAGAAATAGAGAGAAGTTTTCTGTCCTCGGACAACAGTCGAACGGTTGCAAGTCATCGGCCGGTCCCCTACAGATCACTGCATTCTTTTTAGAAGAACAAGTCGTTCGATTACTGCACAAACAAACACCTATGCAACATAGAATGATAGTCAAGTGCATGGCCCATACTAGAGAACACCGATCCTCCTCACGCCAGTCCAGTACAACAGATGAAAACGGTGGAGTGTGGTGAAGGAAAAGTGACGCGCTTTGCGACGTGCACTCAGGGGGTGCAAATATGAGGGCCAACACACTCCCCTGCCCCCTCTGAATCGCTGATATCTGGTACTATTTGTGAAACACAAGAAGGCCTACTTGTAAAGCTCATTATGGGCCAAATCCGTTTAAAATAGCAGTAAAAATTCGAGCGGCGGGAGTGAAGTGCGCGGCGCGTCTTAAGAGTGTTTTGCTCGATGACGTGGGCTTTATCCCTATATCTTCATTCGAAAATTTTTTTTCATATTCAGGGTCTAAGAAATCCCATTAGCATCGAGAAGCGGTGCCACCTTCAATAACCACATAATAGCAACGATTGAACAACCCCTGCGCAGGCGTTGCCTACATATTTACATATGGCTGGGCAAGGATATTTCTTCAGTGACAGAGCCCCGAACAGCTATTTCTTACCATATACCGACTTGAAAGTTAACGTTTTACATCAACGATATTTTACATCATAAAACTACTGGAAACCTGATTAGATAAGTTTAAGTAGTACTTCGGAAGGTTAATGGGTAATTGTGAGAGCAGTAACACTAATTGAATATAGGATAAATGTACGGCAGTCCAGAAGTCATAAAAATTACCCTCAATACGCTCGACTGCGAATGCAAAAGAAATTACAAGGGTAGTTCAGTTTTATGACCGAAATGAGCCGAGTTAGATTAACTGATTGTCATTGTCTGAAGAATCACAAACTGTTCCGAACTGCCTCTGCATCGTCGTAGTGGCACACCGGACCTGTATTACGTAGGGCCCACCTTTGGATTATGTGATGAGTTCTTACGATGCTCGAACTCAGTAGGGTTGGTTAAGACATATGTCGGTAAATTCACACCCTGTTTCGACCCTTTCAGGCTCTGAAGAAGGTGCGATCCCCGCCGAAACGTTAGCCTAATAAAGGTCATTTATCAACCTCGTGAAGAGTTAAGAAGATATCAACCAGCGCCATCATGCTGAGGTTCATCCAAAGCCATACATGGAGATTGTCTGAAGTTATCCGAGATCGGGGTAGCGCAGGGTCTGAATAGGCGCTGGGCTGCAATTTGGGATGAGATGCAGTTTCCCAACTAGGTTATCCGATACCAGATCCGTTCAAGAAAACAGGAAAGCTTCATTCGAATATAGGCTGATCCATACTTCTTTAGAGAAGCCGGGCATATTCTCAACCGTTACTATGATTTTTAGTAGAAGACAAGTGCGTGGCTCACTCCGATAGGATTGCTCACCATCTTCCGTTCCATCCTTCCTCTTAAACGATCCAGTATTTATCGTTGTCGATTTATTCGATGCTTATTTCTGTTGGATGGGTCCCACCCCAGGTGCTCTACTGGGCGCCCCCGTGAATGCCAATCGACC